AGTCTGACAGAGTGCCCATCCCAGAGTGTTTCTGGGCTTTTTGGGCAGTAAACTGCCCCCATTCCCGGACCAGGAGCTTTGCAAGGCTCCGTACGTGGATAGCAGCCGCGTGTACCTGACCGGTGTCTCCATGGGAGGCTGGCGCCGAGGTGTTTGCGCTGGATGCGAAGAGGGTCAATCTGTTCAAAAGTTGACATTGTGCGCGTCAATCAAGTGATGCCATGACAGGCCTGGTTCTAATTATGGAGGGTTGAGAATAGACGTGCTTTGTATGAGCGAGCTGTTCTTGAAGATGCTTCCACATTCGCAGGTCGGAGGCTTAGATGTTCTGCTGAACATCGACTCGAAAGTTCTGGGTACCTTTCTCGTCTCGTCAAAGCTCGCCGCATCACGGATGCATGGGATATGAATATGTGAACTTGCCTTGAATGAGAACATCCAAGATGAGGGGGGAGTCCCTGTGGCTTAGCTTCTTGAACAACCTGTCCTCAAACCAAGGACACACCCAGGGATGCTTTGTTGGGAAGCCAGTATGCGAGAGAGGGCGCAGGTGTTTGTCGTTTTTCGGCTGCTGTCATATCAAGTCATGGCGCGCGAAGAGAGGCAGTCGGTCGGCGGGCTATTGGGTCGTCATGATATGATCAAGATTTGTTGTCAGCACTTGCAGGGTGCTCTTATGAGGGGCAAAGGGAAACCACCCCCAACCTCCAAGGCACCAATCCGAGCCACCAATTAGACGCTGTAAGCTGACTTCTTGGGTAAAATTTAGAGGAAAGCCAGAATCCACTCATTGTTTGGGTTTTGTTGGGGGGTTGAATTTTAGAGGGAAGCCAAAATCCACTGATTTGGGCTTCGTATGTCAAGACGCGCGCTATGTTTTGTTTGACGCCATGACGCGCAGGCATGGGCTGCTGGGAGTTGGCCATGCAGCGTCCCGAGCTCTTTGCTGCGGTGGTGCCGGTGGCGGCCTATCACAAGCCGGCGCTGCGCAGCAAGATCGCAGAGGCCGCCAAAGGGCGGGGAACGTCGCAACGGCTGGGATCGCGTTTTCTTTGATACCTCCAGGGGTCATAATGGTGAATCAAGTTTAAAGCAACGTCAGCGGTTGCCGCAGATAGTTATGAGCAATCATGTGGCCATGAGTCATAGCCTATGGCTCCATTTCGGGGCGGATGAACACCCATGTACCACCGATTTTGATGTTCTCCAGGGGTACAGGGTTTTGACCCACACCCACACATGTTCAGGTTCACTAAACAGGGGCTTGACATGATATTATATTTCAAGATTCGCTAAGTCGGGGCAGGTCCAGAGGATCCCAAAAAAGGGATCGGCAAGCATCCTGCCAGCAAGCACATAGATTTTGATGAATAGCTGATCCTCAATTTCGAGATGACCATTCCAGAGTTTGCAGAGAAGTCGTGAACAGCTGCACAGTACGTCTGTGGACCAAATGGCAGCATGCGCTGTATCACACCATAAGATTCGATTGACACACTCGGGTATGACTTTTCTTTGTTTCATCTTGGCAGTTTGCACAGCCACACAAGGGTAGACAGGTGTGCCTTTTGTCACTCCCTTATTTGGCCCATTGACTATCAAATTTGGTTGTTGGTTTCTTGTGCAGTTTGTGCTCGTTTGCAATGCCTCAAGGAGCCATCTTGTAAAGCCAGCACATAGTGTTTGCTGCTTTGTTCATGATATTTACATACATGAAGACACCCAATGTTTTGGTGTTTGCAATATACTATGGTGGATAGCTGCGTGGGCTACGCATGCATGACACTGGCGAGACAATTTTTAGACGTGCCGCGTGCCATGAGAACTGTGGGTAAAATATAGCTAGCGTGTGCCAGGTTGGGACAGGATGATGTACGCATCGAATCAAGTTGTGACAGTGTTTAGGCATGGTGAATCAAGCTTAAAGCAACATCGGCAGTGGCAGCAGATAGTTGTGAACAATCATGTGTGGTGACACCTCTTCTTGGAGCCCGTGCGCCGCCATCGATGTATTGCAAGATTCTTCACGCAGGAGCTTGGCTGGGATGGCTGGGGTTGATAACTTGCCCGCCACGGAGACGCCCTGGGGGCAAAGAAGACTATCATGAGGTTTTCTCATGGCCTGCGTGGCTTTGTATGAAGATTGGGCGGCGGAAAAGTGCTGACTGAAAGCGCGGAAGCCATTGGACATGTGGTGCTTGAGGATGCCGCACATTGGCAGGTGCGGGCTGCAAGAGTGCAGTTTTTGTCCATAGGCCGCTTCCCGGGCTCCCCAAAAGCCGAGGTTTGAGGTTCCCTAAAAGAGCCCCGTCCCAGGCCCTTAGCTCGACGCCCATTTTCGCAGTGCATTCCTCCAAGGCGCGAGGGGTCCTGCGTTTGGGGTCTCGGGTCGGGTTGTGGCCGCGCCGTGAAATTCAGGTTTAAGTGTTTGTTGTGTTTCTGTCTCGTGCCGGTTGTGGTACTGATGTCTGTAAAAGCTGTGCCTTGCGATTGAGCAAAGAACCTAGCAACAGACATGGTGTCTTGCGGTCAAGGAGGCGTACAACACACACGCAAACACAAACACATCAGTCACAATCAAGCGTTGTTTGCAAACGCTTCATTAACGCGCGGTAGACAAGCCTTTTGCAACGTTGGAAGCGAAAGTCCGTCTCATATCGCTAACCGAAGGCGCTTTTGTGCATTGAGTTCTGGCTCGTTACTGGAGTTCCAAACAAGCAAACATGCAGACAAACAAGCAAGCAAGCAGGATGCAAGCAGCCAAGCAAGCAAGGAAGTAAGCACAAACAAAAACATGCAACAACAAACAGAACAATTGAACGAACGGACGGACACAATTTGGACATGAGTTTATTTTTGTCAGGCTTCTATGACTAGAAACCAAGGCTTTGGCCAACCAACCAGCCAACCAACCAACCAACCAACCAACCAACCAACCAACCAACCAACCAACCAATCAGGCTACTATTAGTTGCCATGTTCAGAAGGATTGAGATGAAAAACACAGACGTTTCTTTGTGGACAGGGGTGTTTTTGCAATTGTCCGTGGCGATGTGTGTTCGTTTGTTGGCTTGATGTGATCTTGGTTTGTTTTGATGTTGGTTGTGTTGTGCGTGGTGGCTTGTTTGCCTATTTGGTTGTGTTTGGATTTGCCTCGGCTATTTGGTTGTGTTTGTGGTAATTACCTTGTTTAGTAGTTGCTTTGCTTCTTTGCTTGGGGCAACTCTAATGGGGAACTGCATATAGCACTATATATATATATTGACAGAGGCGGTTCTGCATAAACACCTGTTTTCATATTTTGGTTCCAAACGGGCTTAAAACCCCGGACACCCCCCCGGACAGCTTTGAGGGCACAAAATCGGCGGGACTACTCCCCGGACAAACTTGAGGGCCCAAAAGCCCAGGACAAACCCCCGGACAAGTCTTCGGACAGGTTTGGAACACGCCAAAACCACTCGGAAACCACTCGGAAACCGCTCGGAACGCTCGGAAACCCTCGGAACCCGCTCAACACCACTCGGGAACTCGGGAATCACTCGGAGGGAAGTATTCTCGCGGGGGTTTGCAGCATAAATCTCGGCAAAGTGCGCAGACAACCCTCCGGACAACCCTCCGGACAATTTCCGGACAACTTGCCGGACAGTTGTTTGTCCAGCAGTTTGTCCTGCACTTTGTCCGGCACTTTGTCCCGCACTCTGTCCCGCATATCAAGGGGGGTGTTTATGCAGAAGGGCATTCGTCTATATGTATATATATATATATATATTACAGCGTGTTGTTTGCTATAAAGTTCAGCTTTAGGTTTGCACACCGCTACAGTCTCAGCTTTCGAAGTTGGCATCATGGCTTGACTGTTCGGCTTGAGGGTTCGCTAGGACAAGACCTGTCCGCCGGCCAAAGAGAAGCTCCTCTACGCTGAGCTGCAAAACTTTCGCGCGGACCTCCGGGTGGATGAGTGCACACTGGCCCACACCGCCATGCAGCGGGCGTTCATCGACGATTCCCAGATTTACGCGCCTTGGCAGTTGTGGGTCCCACAGGTTTTTGTTTGGTGGCTTGCTTTGCTGTTTTGATGCATTCCCGGCGTTCCTGGATAATTGCTGTTTGTCCTGAGACGTAGCAGATGAGTTTGAACAGATTTGTCGAGGTTGACGGATTTGCCGGCCAGATTTCTGGTGTTTCAGTGCGTAGTTACTGAAGGTCTCGGGTCGAGCGCCCTCGTTCGGAGTGCCTGAGGAGTGGCTGCTTTGCAGGAGCAGAAAGCCGCAAGCTTTGCGGCGCTGGGGAGACAAAAAGCGGTTCGTTGCCTGCCGAGTTACGCGCGACTTGTGAAGTTGGATTCTTGCTTTGTTCCCCTCTCAGGGAGCAACATGGTTTTGCTTTATGCAAAAGGGGCTATTTTTTTTTAACAAGATCCAGTAGTTTTTCTTCAAAGTGAAGGAGATGAGGTACTGCCTCAGAAGGCCAGAGGTACTTTGTCGCACAGCCCTCCCCTTTCGGTGGCCCAAACATTGACCTAGCTCATGGTAGCGTCTCAGTAGGCATGCAAGTCAACTACCTGAAAGTGGCTCTCGAAGCTTGCCGGTTGCTTCTGGGATAGGCATCTTTGGCTGACCTGAGTAGGTGAATCCTGGTTGGCGCGGGCTGAAAGAAAAAATGGCTTCGTTGCTACCTATATGATAATTTGCTTTCCAGGTTTGATCGGTTGGGCTCCGCATCACTAGTGCTTGAGTGTGTTATGGCCTTGCTGAGCAAGGCTCCCTGTCAAGCGTCATACGAATAGGCAAACTAGCCATCTCACTTAATTGAAACAATGAACAGGCAGGGGCCGGGAACATTGTAGTTGCTTGAGCTACGAAGGGAGATGCTTTGCAGGGGACAGGCATAGGCATGTGTCCAAACAAGCTCTACGAGGGCTCCTAAGTTTGACTCATCCATGAATTAGACAAGTGCTATGAAGCTGCAAACCTCCATTTTCAACGTTTCGAGCGGCGCAGGAATCGGTATTTCAAGATGCCCTCAAGGCGGGGAGCGAAACACATATCTGCGGTCCAGGCTTCTTCCCTCCAATGGCCAACCCAAGAATACGTCTCAGTGGCATTTGTGTTTCTAAGGGCTTCCTGCTTCCCATTGTTTCAGGATTCTAGACGCGTACTGCTACTTGCAGCTGATCAAAAAGCTCCCTGCAATTAAAGACGCCCCCCTTTTTCCAGCCGCCCGGCCAAAGCTACTTCAAAGGCTCTTTCAAGGTTTGGCAAACGGATATTCCAGTTTTGGCACTCTCCAGAAAGCCGACGAAGCACACATCTTATGGATCCCAGAAGAAACAACAACTAGAAGCTACAAGTTCAAATAGCTTGCCAACTTCCATGTTCAGTATCTTTGCCAAGGCATGCCACTAGTTTTGTAGTCCCAAGGGTTGTCATTCCCACATAGGAAAAGTGACCTTCTTGGAAGCGGTTCTATTATCTTGCAGTTGCTTTCAAGTCAAGGTTTGACAAGCTCATAAAGGGTACCCGCAGAACCCTGGATTAATCCTGGCACACTCCAGCTCTGGGAAATAAACAACCCAGTTTTCTTTATTTTCCAATTCCAGGTATTGGCCAGATTCCTGTGGCTTGTGTATCAGAGTTGGTCGACCCACTTCTGATGATGTGAGCATTGTTTTGCAAGTGCAGCTAGTTGCAATGACGCGCAGATCGCTGGGCCAATGACTGCTACTTTTCAATCATGCCCGGTGCTAGTGGAGCGTGTGGGAAAAATCCAGGGCCCATTGTTCAGAGTGGATTCAAATTCATTTGCTGTCCTGGTTTCCCAGTGTTCGCCATAGAGGGGCCTCCTGATTTGGGAGACATACCCGTTTGCCGCGCGAGTTGCAGTCCACAGGCACTGTCAGACAGTTCTCAAATTTTAACCCATGATCAAATCGGCCGAGAGGGTAAATCATTGTGCGTGAGCATTGCCAGCCCTGAAGCAGTGTGTCTAGGCGGGAGACTGAGCTGGAGCTGAAAAGCATTGTTGTGCTAGGAATATCCGGACATGTTGCTAGTTGACCACAGCTTTTGCCACAAGGCTGGTTGACGTTGTTGTAGGACATGTGAGAAACAGTCTCAATTGGTGTTGAACCGTTCAAGTCTTGACGCTTAGTTTCCACGGCCCTTCCAAAAGGCACGTGGGCCACCCCAGATCATGCTTGTGTATTGCTACAGAGTGATTCTTGCTTTGGAGCTTAGTCAGCTTAGCCCGTAGCCCCGGCTCTGTGCGCTCAGCTTTGTGATTCGTTTGCGAGGCCTACAAGGAGATCCTCAAGCTTCCAGCGAGCCTCGGTTGCAGCCGAGTTGCCCGTCCGGAGGGATGGGCGTTGACCGCTTTGGTGGAAGATGCTTCGCCTTGGCAGCAAAATGTTGCCCCGAGATATTGGCAGGACTTTCTTGCCAAAGCCCAACTTCGTGCGCCATATTGCCATAGCCATACGCGGCAAGAACGGACCTACCATGAATGGCATACACATGGATTCTAGTTGACAGTGCTGTCCGTACCAGTGGTTTGCAACTTGTGAACAACAATCATGCAAATGTGTAATTCCATGTACTGTTACGGGATGCTTCACCAACCACCGAATTGCACAAGGTCACTGGTTTATTTGCACACCGTGACGATTGCGCTTCTCCTAGGATGCGCATCAAGGATCAGGCAAATTCAACAGGAACTGCCTTCGTAAAGGAATCATCCGTGCACGTTGTTTGATATGTGATTGGCACATGTTACATGGCCTCAGCAGGACTTTCTTTCCAGAACTCAAGTTTCTACATATCATATGTTTGTCGCAACGTTCCGTCTTTGACACTGCCCCGGCTTTCCATCAACACCCGTTGAAAGGCACTGGTCAAATGCCATATGCCAAGATTGGTGGCTCGCCGAGGTCCTTACAAAGTTTTGTTTTTGTTTCTTCAAGATCAGCTGAATGTCGCCTGGCAATGACATGTTGCAGACTCACCAACACCAGATAGGGCCTACAGATGCCACTTTCCCACGATGTTGACTTCCACGGCATGTTTGTGTGTGCGTGTGTCATAAAGGCCATGATGGTTACTGAATTCAGCCGCCGTGTTTGCAGAAGCTTGCCGCAAACTGCGCATTGATCGGGTTCGTTGGAAACAAGAGAAAATGACTACACTTCAAGCTTGCGCCTCTTCCGCATTACAACTTGACATGGCTTTGCGCCTTGTCCGTTGTCCCAGCCGATTGTTTTGGCTGGCGCCTTTGCGAAAGGTACTTCGAGGATGAGCAGATCCTCAGCAAAATCTCTGCAAGCTTGGTCCTCAGACTGGCCACGTTTGCCTTTCACTGGCTCCGTGTCAAAGGCGAAGCTGCAGTTGCGGAATAGGTTGAAAGGGAGCCAGTTGAATTGGCCCAAGTCAGCTGGAATGTGTGAAGCGTGCGAAGCTCGATTTGAAATCTGGCCCATCCATGCTCATCAGTCACTTATTCGGAAGC